TATATTYGATCCCATCGAATAGAACATTGACATATAAGTTGATACTATTACTGTCTATACTATAGAAAAATATCAGGCGTGAATCAATAAGTCTATCTATATGTATATATAGATATATATGATCCAGTATCCCCCCTTTTGTGAAGTAAAAAAAGACTACCCTCAATCCCATGCACGCTAAAGTATTAAAAAAGTAAGAAGTAATGAAGTAATATAGAATCAATGGATTTATGGTAAAATCCCTCCATGATACATTTTATAAAAATTTTGGCTGGCTGGTAAAKGGATCAAATGRTATATTTTGTTGGTAGATTGGAGGATTAGAAACATGACTATTGCTTTCCAATTGGCTGTTTTTGCATTAATTGTTACTTCATCAATCTTACTGATTAGTGTGCCCGTTGTATTTGCTTCTCCTGATGGTTGGTCGGGTAACAAAAATGTTGTATTTTCTGGTACATCATTATGGACTGCATTAGTCTTTCTGGTGGGTATCCTTAATTCTCTTATCTCTTGAACCTGTTCGTTCTCGATACAAAAATGAAATGACCCTCCCCTAATTCTTTCGAATTGTGAGACACGTTAAAATGCAATATAAGTCCTAAAAATTTCAAATTCAAATAAAGAAAAATAAATTAGAGGGAGGGGTCTCTTGCTTGTATTGTAAAAATTTAATATATTTCTGCAGCTCCCTCCTTTGCTCTCTGTTCCGTGTGTCATTTGAAACCTTTCTTAAATACTAAAAAGAGTAAGCTTAACGGTAATATGGGAGGGGTAAAAAAAAGATAGAGGAAAATAATGAGGAAAATAAGAAAGAAGAAGAAGGGTTTTGACGAAGTGAAAGAATTAGGGTATTTGGGTTGTATAGCCCTTTTTCCAAGGGAGGATTGGTTTTTATCCACTTTTTTAAAAACTTAAGTTTTCTAAACTTTTCTGACATCACTCTAGATATCAAATGACTATTATTGCCCCTCCCCTAATTTTTTTATATTTCCGTCGTTTTTCTTTAAAACAATGCATTTTCTCTTTCTTATAATTTGAAAACTTTATTCTTCTCTTTACCCAACACAACCCCAAAAAAATCTCTCTCTTCTTCTTTTTCTACCAATATTTTATTTTCTTCTCTCTCATTCACTCCCCCATTTTTGTTTTCTGTTGTTCATGAAAATGTTCAGATGTTGACAAAAAATAGTTTTTGTGTTTTCTTCCAACTTCTGCAAAATTGTGGGTACTGTCAAGTCTTCTGTTGCAAGCCAAAGAAATCTGAACCAAAACTAACAAGATTCAAGACATAGATCGAGATCTAACAAAAAGCGAAAGAGAGTGAGATATTTGCAAAAACGAGAAGGAGAACAAGATCTGAGAGATTTGAGCGAGGTGGGAGCGAGATCTAACTAAGAACGCTGACCTTGAACGAGATTTGAGAGATCTGAGCGAGAACGAGATATAAGAGAGAGCGAGAGCGAGATCTGAGCGAGAACGGTGAGCGAGGGCGAGATATGAGCGAGATCTAGAACTAAACGAGAGCGAGATCGATATTGAGATCTGATCAAGAGCAACAATGAGATCTAGATCTGACCGAGAGTGTGAGATAGGGTGAGATAGATGTAGGCGTGGAGTGAGGGGTGTGAGAAAGAGAGAAGAAACCCTATTTTTAGAGAGAGAGAAAGAAGGTGTGAGGAAGAGAGAGGAAAATTAATTTCTATGGTTGAAAAAATCGAAAGGAAGATGGAAAGACAAAATAATAATAATGAAAATTAATTCCTCTCTTCCCTCTCTCGTCTCTCCTCTTCCCCTCTTCCCTCTCTTCTCTCTCCCCTCTTTCCTCTCTCCCTTCTCCCCACTCCTCTCATCTCTTCTATTCTCTTCTGCTAGTTAAGAAAGAAAAGAGAAAAATGAGAGAAAAATACCTATAGTATCATAGAAGAGAGAAAAAAGAGAAGGAAAAAAGGAAGAGAAAGAATGAGTTAATGGAAAATGAGAGGAAAAAAATCTAGAAAATGAAAGAGGGAAATAAAGGGAGGAAAAAAAATTTTGGAAAGATAGGGAGGAAACAAGAGAGAGAAATCAAAACAAAAAAAATGAGGGGAGGGGTAACGAAAGTAAATTAGTATCCAAAGTGATGTCAGCAAAGATTAGAAAATATAAGTTTTGAAAAAAAGTGGGTAAAAAACAATAGTTAAAAGGCTATTCAATCCACAGAATTAGTTAAAAAAGAAACCTTTATTTAAAAATAAAAATCCCTTTTTTATTTCTTAATTTAATAAAACCAAAATCTTTTAAACAATATTTAAATCCTTTAATTCAATTAAAACCTTACCTTAAAACCAATAAGAGTAAACTTTTTTTCAATGGAATGTAGATGCTGACGGATATTTTGGGAAAAATCATGAAAATTGTGAAAATTGATGGAAATTGTTTTCCTTAGGTAATGAAACCTTAATTGTAGTATAATTAGGCTATAATTGATCATTTTAACCATCATATATAAAAATATGAGTAACTTACCAATAGAAATATCGATATTATCGAAAATTTCAAGAAAAATTTTGAAAATTTATGGAAATTATTTAAATTAGTTAGTGAAACTACAATTGTGATTTAATTAGACTATAGTTGACCGTTTTTAATTATCATCCTAAAAAATAATAGTAATATTTATATGAAATGTCGACGTCGACAAAAAGTTTGAACAAAACATTAAAAAATATATAAATTTTAATGGTAATAATTTAATTCAGTTAATAGAAATTTTATGTAAATTAACTATGTTATAATTTATTTTCTTAGACATTAAATTAATATTTAGAGTTACATATCTAAATAGACAAAATATTAATTTTACAATTTAATAAATAAAATTAGAGATATAATGGATAAGAATTAAAAAAATCACCTCATCTCGATAAATATATATAAATAAAATAAATAAATAACTAAAAATTTAATTTGTAAAATATGAATTAAGAAAAAGGGAGGAACAGAAGACAGAGGAGGCAAAAGATGAGACATGAAGAGTTTTTGCAGAATTAGAATAATAATAAAAAAAAAGAAAATAAATGTGTTTTTTTTCCGTTCTACATAGACAAGGATGAGAGGTAAAACCAAAAAGTTCTCTATAAATACTTACCCTCGTAATATTTGTGCATAAGTGCAATGTAATATTATTGGGCTGACCAAATGTGTCGACTTGATGAAAGAGTTTGGTTCTGGGCCGGATTTTTTATTAAAAAATATTTTAGTTCGATATTTTGTCAATATTTTGGCAAAATATTAATATATTGGTGAAATGTCGAGATAACATGAAATATTGACGATATTTTGGGAAAAAATATTTTTCCTTCGCTTTGCCCTAGTGCAAAATATTTCATGAAACTAAAAAATATTTTGGCCAAGATAACATGAAACTGAAAAAGTAATGAATTCGAGAGTTTTCTCCACTTTGCCCTAGTGCAGACTCCTGCTGGTGTATTCCTTATGCATAGCATAAAATACATTGCTGATAAGTATTTAACTTTGATGGGTTATCAAACTTTTGGAGTATTTCGGCCTTGAGTATGGTGAGTTTTCTATTTACTCTCGATATTTGACCATATAAAGGTAATTCATCTAATTTTTTTTCTTTTTTTTGTTGAACCACTTATACGATTGGCCTCTAATTGTTAATGACTTCGTTGTCTATATGCTTGAGTTGTCGTGTATCAACTTTAGTAACATGTTTTTACTTTTTGTAATTTTGATTAGTAATAATTTTGTAYTTGTGCCTTTTCATTTATGTTTTACTTTTCTTTTACCTTTTACTTTTGCTTTTACTTTATTAAAGTTGCTTTTCTTTAGTGTTTGTGGTATTTGTTTCCTTTTACTTTACATCAAACGAGGAGATTGTAAATGGATAACATGTCGGACAGGTTCCTATCCTGTCAACCAATCCTTATTTGCTACCCAAATCTATTCTCCGAACACTTAGGGACCAACCTAATTAAAGCCCAAAAGATGAGTCGCCACGAGATGGCTCATCTTGATATCATAACACTTAAAACTCACTCTAGGTGAAGCCCAAAACACGAGCTCACACAAAAACAACTCACCAACGATATCAAAACACTTAGACACGATCCTAAGTCAAGCCCAAATGATGAGTTCTTACGAGAGAGCTCACATCGGCATTAAAACACTTAGAGACTCCCATAAGTGAATCCCAAAGGACAAGCTTCCACGAGCAAGCTCACCACGACATTCAATCAATTTGATACCACACTAAGTGACGCCCAAAGGATAAACTCTCATGAAAGACCTTACCTTGACCTCGAAACATTTAACGACCACCTTAAATGAATCCTAAATAAAGCTCTCCCACGTAGAGCTCACATCGACTTCCAAACACTTAATAACCACATTAAGTGAAACTCATAGTACAAGCTTCGACGAGAGAGGTCACCTAAGTCATCTAAACACTTAGGGGCGAGGAGCACACTTTTGACATGAACTGAGGTGATCTCACCTTAGTCATGCAACAAGAACTTCAGGAAAAATGTCAGAGATTTAGCCTACATGTTGTCCAAGCTGACAACAAACTGGAGTTGCATTAAGTACATTTGTGCTTCATTTTGTTAAATACTATAAATAAATTACTAATTTGTTCAACAAGTATTCTTGGAGGCCAAGAAAAATTGGTGGTCATTAGATCTTACTTGTTGGATAAGGACAATTTGTGACCACTAGATCTTGTTGGTAAAGGACAATTTGTGACCACACAAATCCAAAGCCAATTTTGGCCATAGGATTTACTTGATAGCCAAGTGTATTTGCACTATAAATAGATGGATCCATGTTGGCAAACCATCACAAATCCAAGTAAGTATAGTGTGAGATAAATTGAAAGGCTTTGTGAGATAAAAGTTGGGAGAGTTTCTCCTTGTAAGATGTAGAGGTGATCATTGGTCGGTAGGTGTACGTTTGTTGGCTTTGTGATACTTAATCTCGTATTAATTAATTTAATT